GGGGAGACAAACTCTGTTTCCAGGTATTGTGATGGTAAAACTCAACTTTTCAAGTTCAAACATCACTTTCTTAGATGCCTACAAATGCCATCAACCAGCGATAATACAAACCTTGATCAAACATTGCCAATGACTATGGGTGATTTCTACGATTCACATCTTGAAAGCTTGGTATGTTTGTGTAATCAAGTAGGATTCCAAGCAGCGAGCGGAAGCACTTTTTTAGGGAACCATTATCTTCTAGAATCGTTTTCTTTTACTTTCAGACAGACGATTCTGGTCTTTTCTGCAGTGACTTAAGTCTGCAGGCAACGTCTACGCCTCTGCGATCCTCTTTACAACCTTATATCATTCCTCCAGCCAACCTTGCCCCCGTTCCCAATCCATATGCAGACCTCAGGTAAGCGAAATCATTAATTTTTCTTTCTCTTCATTTATTTGAACCAAATTCTGTGCTGCATTAATTCTATGTGGTGATTTTAACTGATAAGCCTACAGCATATTTCAGCATGAAGAATCCAGCTGAGGCTTCAGTTCCTGTGACGTCGCCAGTTGTGTTGAAAACATCACCACCTACTCCAACTTCGTTCAAACGTGCAATGCGTGATGTGCAACGGCAGGGATTTCTTCAACCTAGGAAACTTTTGGCCAGTTTCCATTTTCATGTGTACTTAGTATTTTTAATATGATTTGATTTTAGACAGAGAGGACCAATACTGCATACAATAGTCAGGACCAAATTATCGAGCAAAAGGTAACTTCCATGATTGTAGCACTATTCCACTTTTTCTGAAGCAAAGGCTCAATTTCATATGTATCTTTAGAAGTGTTGTGACTTGTTCACACATCATGTCCACGCATAGTAGAGCCTTATCGTAGAGATACGATAAGAGTCAAATATGACTCTGCGTATCTGCTTGGAAAGGTTTGGATAAGGTTATTTGACATGCTGATCAGGAGTTTGTTATCGCCATGTAGGAATGTAGATGTGAAGAAGGAGTGAAATTGCAAGTCCACAGTGAATTGCTAGTATGGGGAGGAATGCAATGTTTTTACGTCACGTCAGATAACTTCAGGAACTTTCCAGGCAAATTGATTCCTCCTTTCTACTGTTTCCACAATAATGCGCTATTAAGCGCAACGGGTGTGATGTTCGTGATTAGCATGTCAATTAACTCTCCTGCGCAAAGTCTAAACGAAATTTAAAATTTAGAGATTTTTGGGTAAGGGAGATCCGAATAGCACATGAGTATTGATCTATTTTGAACTCCATTAATACATAGTAATAAGCTTATAAAGGCATAGTTTGGACAGTTCTTCGAGTTTACTTAAAGTCGAGA